GAGAGGGAGAGAGAGAGAAACATCAATGATGAGAGAGTCATTGATCGAGTCCACAACCTGGGCATGTGCCCTGACTGGGAATTGAACCCCGATCCCCTGGATCCGAGGTTGATGCTCAACCGCTGAGCCACGCCCGGCTGGGCCAGGCCCCCCTTCATTTGAATGTTTGAGTTGAATAAAAATGTTACTCAGGACATGGACTATATGTTTTTCTTTGTGTTCTATACTTCCTCAGATAGCCCTAACTTAATTTTGGTCAGGCTACTTTCTTGGTAATTTTAACTAATTTCGATACCAACTAAAGGAGAACCTAATTTTAATGAGTGAAATCACAACTAACAAACTTCATATTTGGACATCCAGAGACTTCAAGTATTAGGAATTTTTTTTCCTTTGCTTGAACTTAAAATGTATTAAAATGTATGTTTGCTTTAATTCACTTAGGTTTCAGTTTTATTGCAGCAGGAGGGTCCTTTGGGACAGCTAATCTGGAATTTTTTTTTTACTCACTATTTAATACTAATTGAATCCTTGAAATGATGTTCATATTCTTTTCTTTTTAAATATTTTTCATTGATTTTTAGAGAGAGAGTAAGGGTGAGGGGGAGAGAGAGAGAAACATTTATGTGAGAGCAAAACATTGATCGTCTTACCTCCTGCACGCCCCCTACCCGGGATTAAGGCTGCAACCTGGGCATGTGCCCAGACTACTAGAATTGAATCCGCAACCTTTTGGAGCACGGGACCACACCCAGCCAACTGAGCCACACTTGCCTGGTGATGGTCATATTCTTACGGGTTTTTTTTTTGCAGAGCTTGAGAATAACTTCTTTTAAAGTTACTAGGATCTGCTCATTTTTTTCCAAGTTGATAAAGGATGCTTGGAAAATATTGTATGGAATGATTAAGAAAATGATAATTTTTAAGACATCCTGAATAAAATGAAAATTAGATTAAAATAGTATATATTGTTATCATAAAAACCAACTTGTTATTTTTATGTATTATATTGTTTTTCACGATATTCTTTGTTCTGATTGTTTTAAAAGCTTATTTACTAATATCCCTACCCTTTTCTCCCCTGGAATTTTTAGGCGTAATATTCATGGGGTAAGCAAAGAAAAAATAACAAGAATGTTGGAACGCTATCAACGTTTTGTTTCAGTGCCAATAATAATGAGTTCTTCAGTGCCAGAAAAAATTGAACGTAGTGAGTTATGTCCGTATTCTTTTGAGGATCGAAGTTCTAGGTAGGTTAAAGTCCCTTTGTACAAATTTTCAATTTAAAACATAATTTTTAAAAATATAATTTTGGAGCTTGTGAAATTGCAGCCAGATAACTTGTAGAGCACATATATAGTCTTAGCTGAAGCAAGATGTATATGATTAGCAGGAAAAGTAAAAGTTTACTCATTTATTTATTTTTATAAGAGGACATTTATTTATAAAATTACAGAGGTAGGAGAAAGTAAAAGTTTATTTGAATGATGATGTATTTTTTTCATTGTCCTCAGGGTTTTGTGGGCCCATGTTTGTATGACGAATATTCCTGTCTTCATTATGTAACTTCCTGCTATTCTAGTCTTGATGCGTTACCTTATCTCTTCATTGTTATTATTTGTATATAATCACATTACTTAGTTTCCTTAGGTATTAATAAAAATACTCTTTCAAGCTAGTATTATAAAAGTTATTATTTTTTAAACAATATGTCTTTATTGATTTCAGAGAGTGGAAGGGAGAGGGGGAGAGAGAGAGAAACATCAATGATGAGAGACAACCACTGATTGGCTGCCTCCTGCACGCCCCCTGCTGGAGATCGAGCCCACAACCCAGGCATGTGCCCTGACCAGGAACCAAAACTTGATCTCCTGGATCACAGGTTGATGCTCAACCACTGAGCCACGCTGGCTGGGCAAAACTTAATTATTAATGGTATAATTTTACTAAGTAATATAAGTCATAGCTTTTTTAAAGAGGGAGGGAGGGAGAGAGAGAGAGAAAGAAACACCAATGTGAGATACCTTTATAGGTTGCCTCCCATACACTCCCTGAATGGGGATCATATCCCCCACAACCTTTTGGTGCACGAGACAATGCTCCAACCAACTGAGCCACACTGACCAGGGCCAAGTCATAGCCTCTTAAACATTAGTAATCTAGGATACTGATTCTGTTAAACATTTAGTGCATATAAGCAATTGGATAAATGAGTAAAGAAGAACCTTAAATATATATAGAGGTCTGAATCACCCATATTTTTTGATTGTAAGGGATGGAGAGGTTCTATTAAAAAGAAGTTGGGAGTTGAGAAGAGGAAATTCATAAATGCCCTTTCATTGAGGTGTTGCTAAGTAATGAAGAACATGAGTTCTTGAGCCTTAAGATCCTGGCTTCAAATTCCAAAGTTTTATAATATGTAACTATAAAATCTCTCTATACTTCAGCTTTTCATTTATGAAATGGCAGAAATAACACTTTGCTCATAGGATCTCAAGGATTATGAATTAACACTTGTAAAGGACTTAGAATAGCATCTGGCATATAGAAAGCTCAATGCTAGATATATTTTCAGTAGGAAGGCTTTATGAGAGGTGGTACTTTGAGAGCTCCTGGAATAAAGAAAAAAAGGAAGAAAGATGAGTTGACAAATTGAATAAGGAATGTAGTAATTAGGCAAACGTGCTCTGAGTTTGACATTAACATTAAGGATGTATTTTAAGTGTTTAACAAGTGACATCTTAAATGAGAACTCTCTTCCCTATTATTTCTCTTAACTGCGAATCATGGTTGACTCTTTGTGGCTTTGTAAATGAAGCTTAAGTATTTTCCTCTGTAGCAAATGACAGATAGGTGATAGAGGCAGACCTAGTTCCACATATGTTAAGCTTAAATAGGGTAGAAAAAACCAGAGAGGTGGTGTCGTCTTCTGGGAACATATTTAGAATCTTAACTTTAATATTTATGCATAATAAACACCATAAAAATCTCATATTTATTACTCAATTAGAAAAAAGTGTTAGTACTTCTTTTATTCCAAGCATTTTGCTAGGTTGGGGTTACAACAGAGGTTTGTGTTCATAGTGTATTATAGAAAGACCAAGATTAGTTTTTATAATTTTAATGTAGTATATTTCTAGAATTTTTAGAATAAATAAATGTTAAGTGTCCTGTCTTTCAGTTGAATGCTTCTTTAATCTAAATCATAATATTAATGGTGACATTAAGAGGCTTCCTTATAATACTTTTAAAAAATCTTACAGCCCAAGAGACAATGAAGAAATTACCTCTGAAAAAGAAGAAAATGTTTTATCTGCATCTTTGAAGCACATAGAGTTAACTGAAGAGAAGAAACTTGAAGTGACCAAAGAAACTAAGTTACCTGAGAATGTTCCATGTCACCCTAATGCTGCCGATTTAAACAAAGGAAGAAAAGAAATAAGTGGTGTGAATCCTAACAGTCAGAGTGTTTTCATTCAGGAAGCTCCAGACACGTATTTTTCTGATTCTGAACGCAAAGTACAAGTAACAGACAAAAGTGAAAAAGAAAAGCAAGTAGAAATAGCTTCTGAAAAAGAGTATAGTAAAACCGATGCGGATAGTTTTATAGAGAGAATGTCACCGAGTATTAGCTATGGTGAAAATAATCAAGAAGACTGTGGTCTCTCAACTACTCTCTCACTTCAGAATGAAAACTCTTCACCTGGTGAAATATTGGGAGAAAGAGCAACTGTAAAGAAAAAGACCTTTGGAAAACAAAAGAGCAAATCAACTTTGGAAAAGTTCCCGAGACATGAGCTATCAAATTTTGTTGGTGATTGGCCAGTTGATAAAACCATTGGTCAGAGGACAAAAAGGAACCGAAAAATGGAAAAAGCTTCATCTGTACAAAGTGACAAAAAGTGTAATCGCCCTCCATCATGCAAAGTATTAGATAATAGTCTACCTGTGACTATAGATCAGACCCGGCAATCAGGATGTCCACATGAAAGTGTAAAGGATGACAGGAAGTCACAGTGTGATGGTGCTTCAGAAGTTTTCAGTAGCTGTAACTATGACACTTACAAAAATACTGAAAAAAACTTATTTGACTGGCCTTCATCTGATTCTTTAGCTCAGAGAGAGCATAGATCAAGAATGCCAAAGACTGGTTTAAGTGAACCCAGCCTAGAATTTGGAACTAATGACATTATGAATGAAATATCCTTATACACAGTACATGAGGCCTGTTGGGGCACAAGCCCTGAAGAACTAAAAACATTGGGTAGCTCTATTCTAGGAAGTTCTGAAGTGCTATCTAGTGAAATGACCTGTGAGAATAAGACTTGTCCAAATAAAAAGATTCGTGGGCAACACACATTGTCTCTTACTTTTACCAATAGTGCTCCAACTAATCCTGGAGTAGTAGGACCACAAACTTTAGCTGAATTTCCAGAAGGAAAGCCTAAAGAAGTCCCTGGAATTGAAGTAGGCATGTGTACCCAGACTGAACCACAGGATTTTGCTCTCTTATGGAAAATAGAAAAGAATAAAATTAGTGTTTCAGATTCTGTGAGAGTATTAACAGGAAGATTAGATGGATTTAAACCAAAAGCTTTCAATATTAACACAAACTTAGATGTTCAAGAAACAATTCCATATCGGGTAATGTATGATAAGAGCACGTTTGTTGAAGAAAGTGAGCTTACCAGTGCTGATGAATCTGAAAATCTTAATATTCTTTGTAAACTGTTTGGATCCTTTTCATTAGAAGCCTTAAAAGACTTATATGAGAGGTGTAACAAAGATATTATTTGGGCCACAAGTCTTTTGTTGGATTCTGAAACTAAATTATGTGAGGATACTGAGTTTGAGACTATCCAAAAATCATGTGATGAAGCACAAATTGGGCCATTTTCTTTGGGATTTAATTTGAAGGAAATTATTAACCAAAGAGGAACCTTAGAGGATTCTAATTCTGTGCCAGAATTTAGCCATGAGATTGGTGTCACTAACACTAATGTACAGTCTACCCGTGATTCAGAAAAGGAAAACTTAGAGCAGGCAGAAATAAGAGCTATAACTATTGAAAAACCTGGATTAATAAGTGTATTTCCTAGTACCACTGTAGATCTAAAGAATACTAATAAATTACTTCCTAATAGTCAGGCAGAACTTTCAGGTGTATATAACATTAACCAGTCTTTTTCAGGTACTTTAAAAGCTCCTTTTGCTCGAGATATGAGTGAAATGGAAAAGAATCTAGAAGTCACAGAAATTGGAGATAGTATGCGTTCTTTGAATTTGTCTGATATTTTAAACTCTGTATCGTGCACTTCAAATCTTGAATTAAATGAAGAAATTTATTTTACTGACTCTTGTGAAATAAAGAAACATGAAAACCTTCCAAAGGATTTTGTGAAATTTCCAAACACAGAAGAATTTGTGAATGAAGATGAACAGGAAATGGAAAAAATTTTAATGGCAGGGAGTACTTTGCCAGCTGGCTTTAGTGAGGAAGATAAAACCGAGATGTTGAATCCCATGCCAGTGATGGCCAAATCTCTTACCATAGACTGTCTAGAATTGGCATTACCCCCAGAACTGGCTTTTCAGCTCTATGAATTATTTGGCCCTGTTGGCATTGATTCAGGTAAGGAAAAAGTAAATTAGTTATATCTGTGTCTTTATGTGAATAGAATATAGAGAGTTCTGTTTCAATTTAAAAATTATTTTATGTTAATTGAAATGTAAAAGTAATTTGTGTTGTCTGTCTTTTAATTGATTTTAGAGGGAGAGGAAGGGACGGGGAGAGAGAGAAACATTGATGTGAGAGAGAAACATGCATTGGTTGCCTCCCGTACTTGTCCTGACTGGGGATCAAACGTGCAACCTGGGTGGGTGCCGTGACCAGGAATCGAACCTGTGACCCTTTGGTTCACGGAACAACGCTCAACCAACTGATCCACAGCAGCCAGGGCAGTCTACCTTATTTTTGATACAATGTGTTTGTAGAGGATTTTTAAAAATGTAATTTGAAGAAAGTATTTACATGGAGTTTGTGTTCATCCCATGCATATATTGAAAGTTTTCTCTGCTATTTACTTCATACTTATTTACACAGATGAACTATTATGAACCCTTAAGGTTCTACTCCAAATACATTTAAGGCAAGATTAATTTCTTAGAACACACTGAAGTCTTGACTAACGGAAATGAATAAATTAAATTTATTTAGGCTAATGGACACGAATAACTTAAATATATGAAGCATTGTATAATTGCAACAGCATAGAAATGTGGAAACAATGACATATTACTTAAACAAAAATATTCCAAGAGAACTAAAAACATAGATTAGTAATAACGCAAATTAGTATTATGATGCATAAAGTGGTTGAGTATGTTTTTTGCAAATGCATGAGTAATGATTATATTTTCTTTTCTTTTTCCCCCCCTTATCAAGGGTCTCTAACAGTTGAGGATTGTGTGGTTCATATAGATCTGAATCTGGCTAAAGTGATTCATGAGAAATGGAAAGAATCTGTAATGGTTGGTAGGCTTCTTCTTCTTTTTTTAAAAATCCTCACCTGAGGATATGTTTATTGATTTTAGAGAGAGAGGAGGGGAGAGAGAAAAATCGATTGGTTGCCTCCGGTACCCACCCTGATGGGGGATTGAACCCCCAGCGTAGGTATGTGCCCTGACCAGGAACCGAACCCACAGCCTTTTGGTGTATGGGAAGATGCTCCAACTAACTGAGCCATCTGGGTAGGGCAGGTAGGCTTCTTTCTATAAAGAGCTCCTTTTGTATCCATTTTGTCACCTTTGCTCTTCAGTAAAACCTGGAGTGCTTTTCAATTTGAGAGAGAATGAACTTCTACCATTTAAGAGATTACTGATTTTTATCTCTTTCCAGTATTTTAGATTGTTTCTAGACTGGCTAAATTATATAATTAGTGATGAAGCTCAATATGTTGATTTTTTTTTTAAGGGAATAATTCATAAATAGTTTTTATTCCCTAAATTAAAGACTTGCAGTACTGATTGAGTAAATTTCAAAAGCATAAGAATGAATTAAAAAAATACAGCATAAGAGCTCAATAAGTGGAAAAATATAGATGTAGTCATACTTTATAATTTTCTTTACCTAATTTTATTGTTTTACTTAGATTTTAGCAAGAACAATTGATAATTTTACAAAGAAAGGTGATTTCTAGAGAAAAATAATACAATCTTGTTTTCTAAAGCACCTTCTTTTGCTAACAATCCTCTGTTTTGTATTTGTGTTTAGGAGCGACAAAGACAAGAAGAGGTATCTTGTGGCAAGTTTATGCGAGGTAAAGCACCTATTTTTACTTCTAATGATCTTGTTTCGACATTGAAACTTGGTGTGTGTGTGTGTGTGTGAATTTTAACTCATTTTAAGCATACTTCCATAAAATATGTTACCCAAGAATTTGGATTTGCAAATAAAAGTTCTTTGAAAATTGTCTTATGTTCACAATGAAGGAAAAAGACTCTGTAAACTATTTAGTTTTCATGAGTGCTGTGGAACACATAAGATGTGCTCTAATACATATAGTCAAGGTGTTTCCTGTTCAGATTTTGCTCTGAATAAATAAAACTCTCCTGGTTTGAGAGCAATAAAAGTATTCATGCGTTTGATTGAAAGCATTGTTGAAATATTGCTTATTCAGAATTTTTCTTGATGTTACTATTATTAGAGTAAAAAGGTAAGCCTGCTTTTTTGGTACATCTGCCAAATTGAAAATATTTGATTCTAGAAGACTTCTTTGATAGCATTGTCCTCAGTGATTAGTGCAGGGTGGGTAGCAGACTTGTTAATAAGGGTCTTCCTTTTGTGTGTGAGTTCCTCCATATACTTCAGTCCATTCCACACTGAGATTGCAGGTTGAAGATTCTTAGGATGTGCTCGTGTCATAGCTTTAAGAGCTAAAGCTGTTTGAGAGCTAGAGTTCCCCAAAGGGTATCAAGAGTTGTGCAAATGACAGTATCTACTGTTTTTTCACTCTCCAAGAAAGCAAAGGAATGTATCAGAATGTGTTGATATCCCTTAGAAATGCTGGTATGTTACACATTGTTGTGGACTTCTTAGAATGTTTAGCTCCTTCCTTATGTTGAATGTTGAATATCATTTGCTCAATATTTATTGGGTGCCTCCAGTGGGTTGGTTACATATTTGCCCAAATATTGATGTTTTCAGTCTTTGGAGTGGCTGGACAGAACTGATCAGAGCTGATCTAGGTGGTCACTTTGAGCTGGTTGAAGTTTCCTGTGTTTACTATTGTATATGTCACTATTTTCTGTTTGTCGATGTGATATGAAAAAGAGTAGGAAGCACTGAGTTGATTTACAGTGATACCTAGATCATGGCTTACTTGAAATATTTCTACATTTACACATGTCATTTCTTGCTTGTAGTTCATATGAAGGTGTATTTTGAAACTTCAGAGTTGCATTATATTTAAAAGCTAAAAGTAAAAACCTTGTTTCCTGGGTCTCTCTGAGGTAGATATAACAGTGTATAATGCTTAATTTGTATGTTTTTTTGTTGAGGGTCTGACACTTTTTATACTGCTTTTGTAGATCCTTCCCTGGTTGGGCATATTGGTCTTGATAATACTGAACAAAAGTCATCTCAGAGAACAGGCAAAAAATTACTGAAGACTTTAGCAGCATCTGAAACGTTACCCTTATTGGATCATTGGAATACTCAGACTAAAAAAGTATCACTCAGAGAAATAATGTCAGAAGAAATTGCCTTACAGGAAAAACACGATTTGGTATGAGTTAGTATAAATATTAAGCCTTTGCCTCTGACTCTTGGTTGATTGTGTATGTTTACTTTGTGATTTTCATTTGATACATACATTTCCTAGCCTAGAATCTGTATTTAACTTGATTGACGTTAATGTTAAAATTGAAAAGTATTATAAACATAGTTGAAAACTGGAGGTTTTCACTTCTGGGAAATTAGTTGATATTCTACAACAAATTAATCTGTGTCAGATCTGTTGCTTTAGATTTAAATTTTCAGGTGATTGAGCTGCATATTTCTTAGCTTTTTTTAAAAAAATCTTCACCCCAGGATATTTTTTTCATTGATTTTTATTTTTAGAGAGAGTGGAAGGGAGGGAGGAGAGTGTGGAGGGAGAGAGAGAAACATCAGTGTGAGAGAGACAGACACATCAACTGGTTGCCTACTACATGCGCCCTGACTGGGGCTGGGGATCGAGCCTGCAACTGAGGTACATGCCCTTGACCTGGAATTGAACCTGTGGCCCTTCGGTCTGCTGGCTGGTGCTCTAACCACTGAACCAAACCTGCCAGGGTTTTAGCTTTTTAACATTTATGCAATTTTTAAATTCTAGAAACATGAAAGAAATCTTTCATTTAAAGAAAATTTCATTTGTAAATTAGTAATAAGAAATGTCTCTTGCTATTAAAGAATTACCTATTTTTTAAACAAAAGTTTTTAGAGAATGTTTGAGAAACTTAACAATTTGAATTAAAAAATTAAATACCCTTATCTAACTTCTCAATCAAGCAAGTTCAAACAGAAACTTCATTTCACTTGGCACTTTTTGTTCCTTAGCGTGTCTAATTACACGAAGCCATAAGTGCTTTCCTTTTTCCTTTGCATTTGTCCTTCTTAGTCTTTTTTGGTATTCTGAAAATTAGTATTAGGGAATTTTTAAAAAAATCCTCACTGGAGGATATTTTTTTCACTTGGTTTTCAGAGAGAGTAGAAGGGAGAGAGAGGGAAACATCAATGTGAGAGACACACATTGATTGGCTGCCTCCTGCATGCACCCCAACCAGGGCCAGGGATAGAGCCTGCAACTGAGGTACGTGCTCTTGGCCGGAATTGAACCTGGGCCGATGCTCTAACCATTGAGCAAAACTGGCTATGGCAGTATTAGAGAATTTAGAAATCAGAAGAAAAAATACCTTAAAGGTTATTTAATCTAATTCCCAAGGGGGAAAAAACCAACAACTTTTAGATGGTGATCTTAAAAAACTTAAAAACTTAAAAAACTTTTACTTTCACTCATTTGATTGCTCAAAGGAACACCTTTATATTTGGTTGAAATACATAGAATTGGGGCATAAGAGGAAAGATGGGATTCCTCTACCTTTATATTTATTTTCTCTAGTTATCTTGTTAATTAAATTGGAAATATGCTAGCATTCCCATCTTTGCATGTTTATATAATCCCAGGAACAATCTCTTCAGTAGGATCTTACAGTTTAGTGTTGTTTTACATATCCTCTTCAGTTTATTTATGTAATAAATTAGACAAATGGGCTTTATTAAAGAATAGGGAAAGCCTAGAATTTATGCCCTAACTGTGTTAAACTTTTTGTTGAAATGCCATTTTCCACTGCTGAAACTTATATTTATGGTTCTAACCTGTCTTTTAATCTCTCAATATACTAGTGAACAAATGAACATCTTTGACTTCCCAACTTAATGCACTTTTTTCCCTATCATTTTTGCTTGTCTTTGTATGGGTTGCGTAATAGAAGTTTTATTCTTTGGTCCATCCCAAGAACCCTCTCTGAGGTAGAACCCCCAGTGAGAGAATTTTGTGATGCTTTCTCCTCACTCTTTGTCCCCAAAGGAGAAATACACTTTGTTGTGTTTTTTTTTTTTTTAAACAAAGAACATAAAATAAACTTTAGGCATAATGTATGAATAGAATAATCAATTGTAATATAAGATTAAGGTCATGAGTTTTCAGATTTTTGAATTTAGTTTCAAAACTCTATGGCTTGGTAGATTGCTGTTAAATCTGATCACTGAATATTTTAGTAAGTTAGATTATAATGCATATTTTAAATAAACCATGAAATGTTTTAATTCTTGAGGTGGCTGTTTCTATTGCTCTGTGATGTATGATATGGTCAGTTTTACCAATCCATTCTTTTACCAGTCAGATGGTCACCTTCTTTTGTTCTTCTTTTATTGTTATTTGGTGTTACAAATGGCCTAAATGTGCTTAGGCTTCAAAACCAATAACTATTCTAGGATTGTCCTATCCTAGGCTTACGTAATTTTTATATTTAGGAATTTTCAGAGTCACCTTTGAAATTTGATAGGAACTTATTTTTCAGACATTAGGATCTTTGTAGCAAACAAAAATATTTAGTTATAGTGTCAGCAAATTCTCTTAGAGTTAGAAATCACTTTAGAATGTTTACTATAATCCTAGGTTAGGATTAAAGTAGCACATTTTATAAAGTTCTTTTGGTTTGGCAATTTGAACAAGTCCAGATATGACTGGTGAAAAAATAACAATTAGTAACAATTCTCATACAGTTATTTTGAAGTAAATATGCTTGTGAAACTTTTAAAAATTGTGAATTTTAAGATTTTCTGTCAACCTGAATTTGCAACTTATTTGTACATTGTAGTTTCTGCCCATTGAGGAGAATATGTTTTTGAGGACGTTGTTCACAGCATCACACAGTGTCCCTTTTATGAGGACCCATGGGAGAAATTTCTCTCAGGTCTCAGAAAAAGCTGTACTTCTCCTGAGCAACTGGTTTGTTTTTATTTTATGGACACTGAGAATCTTTGTTTCCCCCTTTGCTTTGGCCACTAAGAAGCTCAGAACTGAATTTGTGGCCCACCTTTAGCAATTGTGCAGGATTTTGTTGCATGCATTTATGTACTAATTTTACTTGCTAGCTTTATTCTGTATTCTTTATTTTCTCTACTCTCTGACTTCATTTATTTATATCCTGTTTTTTTATATAAATGTCTCCATCCTGTTTTATGTAATGTGATTGAATGTGCTGAGTGTATATATATGTGAGAGAATGTATGTATATAGGGTGTCCTCCCAAAATGCATACACGCTTTGAATGATTATAAAGCCTGTTTATTAACATACAGTTCATTTTCAAAATTTAAAAGAAACTACAGAAATGAATAATTTTTTTTGTCAACGCATTCTCAGACTGATGACCATTCTGGTGCAGGCACTGCTGATAATGCAAAACAATGGAATCGCAAAATCAAGAATCATTTCGTTTGGTATTTATGTGCCTTCAATTCATCAACTGTTCCCGGTCTTGTACCATAAAACTTTACATTTTATGTGTCCCCATAAAAGTCTATAGGATAAATTTTCTTTGTTCAAAGCTTATTCTGGCTTCACCCATTATTTCAAATCAGTTAAACCTGAAAAGGAGTGAAAATTGAGTTATCAGCTGTGTCCCCCAAAAATGTATACACACTTTGAATAATTATAAAGGCAGTGTTTATACTCCAACTGCCTTTTCAAACTTCCAGTAGCATTTTATGATGAATTTTAGCTTAGTCTGGTTGAAAAGAAAGAAACATCAATTAAGCTATCAGCTGTTAAAGTGTTTATACATGTTTTTGGAACACCCTGTATATTTATATATACATGTACACATATGTATATGTGTGATTTTGCTTGTCTGTGAATATATATATACATATATATATATATATATATATGTATATATGAGCAGCTTCAAATACTTTGTAAAAATGGGATATAAATAAATAGTGCAAGAATACTTATATTACTAATTTCAGCCTTTAATCAGTGAAGAAAGTCTGTGATTGCCTTTAAATTTTTAGTCTTTTTGCAATAAAATAACCATGTTTTGGATCAGCATAATTAGTATTATAAATTCCATTTTAAGGATTTTTTTTTTTTTTTTACTTTTTTTTGTCTTAGAAAAGGGAGCCACTTATGTTTGAAAAAGACTGTGCCACTAAACTAAAGGAGAAACAGCTCTTTAAGATATTTCCATCCATTAACCAAAATTTTCTGGTGGACATTTTCAAGGACCACAAGTAAGTGCTAGAAGGGTTGTGTGTAGTTTCTACTGTGATATCATGGAAAGCATGTGTTACACATTTTAATCTGGTATTTTTCTGATAACAAAAATAATATAAGTATATTATTATAAACCATTTAATGCAGTGTACATAATGTAGAAAGTGAGCACTTTCTGGTAGTTGGTTTATATCCCTTCTCATTTTGTTTTTACATACAGTAGTTGTACATACTAATATGTGTACATACATGTGTACCTCTTTGCTTTTGTGTTTACATACAGATATATGCTTCACCCAAAAAGAGGTTGTGTTTTATGTACTGTTCCGTAGTAGTTTTGCTGGTACTTATTTTTCCTGTCCATGCTTCATGACCTGCTCTTTTCTTTTTAAAATCTACAGAGTATTCCATAATATTCTTAAAGTGATTTCTTAAATGACTGTAATTTATTTAAATATGCTCCTATTTATGGACTTTTTGGCTTTAGAAAAATTGGAAACCATGTTGTACTGAGCATCCTTGAACAGCATACATATTTGCATGCATGGGTGATTGCTATTGTAGGCTAGTTCCTAAAAGTCAAATTGCTGGTTCAGAGTATGTACATTTAAAATTTTTATAGCTAATGCCAAATTTCCTTTGATAAAGGCTTTCCATATTAGTAATATCAGTAACACTGATAGTGTAACCTGCTCTGGATAGTAAGAATCTTTAAAATTTTTGCCTATCTCATAGGAAAAATATTTCACTGTTGTTTAAATTTTTGGTTTTTTGATTCCTAGTAAGTTTGAGTAATTTCATTTCTGTTTCTGTTAATTGCTTGGTTGCTTTTTGTCTATTTTTCCTTTGGTTATTTGTATTTCTATTTTAAAATTTATTTATTGATTTGAGAGAGAAAAACATTGATTTGTTTTTTCACTTATTTATGCATTCATTGATTGATTCTTGTGTGTGTCCTGACTGGGGATTGAACCCTCTACCATGGTGTATTGGAACGATACTTTAACTGACTGAGCTACCTGGCCAGGGCCTGTATTTTTTTCTAGATTTGCGAAGGCTCTTTATATAGTATGTATAGTAATCTTTGTCTGTTAATGTAAATTATATTGTTTTTCCGGTGTGATATTTATCTGTTAATCTTATATAGTCACTTTGGTCACATACATGTTTTAATTCTAACGTTTTATCAGAAAATCTTTTTTTTTTTTGTTTCTGAGTTTTTTTAGGAAGTCTGTTCTGTGCCAATTTTATAAAAATATTTTCTTGCTCTGGCCAGGNAATTGTTTCTGAGTTTTATGTTTTTTTAGGAAGTCTGTTCTGTGCCAATTTTATAAAAATATTTTCTTGCTCTGGCCAGGTGGCTCAGTTGGTTGGAGTGTCGTCTCATACACCAAAGGGTTGCAGGGTCAATTCCCAGTTAGAGCGCATACTGAGGTTGCAGGTTCAGTCCCCAGTCAGGTGGAGTATAGGAGGCAACTAATCAAGGTTTTCTCTCTCTCCCCCCTCCTCTCTCTTTCCCCCTTCCTCTCTCTCTAAAGTCAATAAAAAAACATATCCTTCAGTGAGGATTAAAATGAACATATTTTCTTCAGTGTTTTTAATTGTTAAAATTCTTAATTTATCTAGCATTCTAATGTGTATAGTATGAGGTGGAGATCTAACTTAATTGTTTTTTCAAATGATTAACTGGATGACTAGATCATCTCTACCCACTGATATTAAATATACCACTAATGTTTACTATGTTCCCAAGTACACATTTTTTTCTTTTCTGCCAACATTTGCTATTTACTTTAAAATATTTTAATTCTAATGGGTGTGACCTGGTATACCATTGTGTTTTTTAAATAATATTTAAAAAAAAATTTCAATTACAGTTGACATACGATATTATATTAGTTTCAGGTGTACAATATAGTGATTAGACATTTATTTAACTTTTGAAGAGATCACCCGGATAAGTCTAGTACCCATTTGACATCATCCATAATTATTATACATAGTTATTCCCTGTGCTATACATTTTCTTTTAAAGGCTTTTCAAAAATTCCATTGAATTGTTTGTTTGGGTCTGGATTTCCACCATATTGTTTTAATTATTGTAGTGTTATAGTGTGTTTTAATATTTGGTGCATTAGGAATGCTTCTGGTTTGAATAATATGTACTTTCGTTCTTATATATTTCTTATGTCTTTTTAAGATTCTTTTGAGAATCTAATATAAATTTTTCTTTAGTTTATTAGTATATTTCATATCAATCACAATAATAGGTTTTTAGAATAAAACATACTTTACCTTTAGATATTTATTTATTTATTTATTTATTTATTTATTTATTTATTTTCTTTAATGCAGTGTAGGAATTGATTTCAAGATTTTTGTAACAGTAATTAGATGTTATTACTCTTCCTTTGCTATCTTTGTCATTTTGGGTTTTATATGGTATTAGGTTTAATAAAATAACCTGGCGAGACTGCTGTTTTTCTCTGTGCCCTAGAAAGTTTAAATAAATTAGTACCTTGAATGTTCTGCCATTGTGCCTTTTCAGGGAGAAGGTCTTTAGAACCTTTCACTATCTTTTTAAGGTTATTACTTTATTCAGATGTTTGCTTTTTTCAGTCTTTTGTGGTAGTTTGTCTTTCAGAGAATCATCAGTTTACTTTGGTTTTCAAGTTTATTATTGTTAAGTAGCATATAGTACTTTCATAATTAAAAACATTATTTTGTAATTAATTACATTCCTTTTTCCTATCTTAACATTCTTTTCTCTATTTTCTCTCTTGTTTTTGCCATTTATTAGATTGGCCCTTTTAAAGAACAAGCTCTTGGTTTATTGGTTAAAGACTTTGGTTTTATGTTCTCTAATCATCATGTTAGTTTATTTTTAATGACTCCTTTTTATTTTTGATGATTTCTTAAAATTTGTTGATATATTTTGAACTATTTGGTTAGTTTATTTCCTTTTAGACTTAAATAACATACGTGTAAGGGTATGACTTTTCTATACAATGTTTTGATTTTGATATGTAGTATTTTCATTTTCTATATAATCTCTAATTCAATTTGATTTTTCTCACTTATCCAAGAGTTTTTAATTGTTTAACTGGTTTGATGGCTTTGGTGGTGGTGGTGGTGGTAGGGGGAGGGTTATTGTTTTATTTTGTTTTGTTGTATTGGGATATAAGAATGTTGCTTGGAGAGTTCTACTTTTTGGAATTTGAGATCTCTTTGTGGTTTAATACTGTTAGTTTTTATAAATACTACGTGAAAGTCCTTTTGAAAAAGAATATTCTTTTTTCTGCTGAGTATTCAGAGTTCTAAATATGTCACTTAAGTTTTTAATGGTATTGTTCCAATCCACAATTTCCCTATTTAGTTTTTGCTACCTAACCTGCTATTTTCTTAGAGTTATGTGTTAGAATCTCCTAAGGGGCTAGGGATTGGGGTTATGCTGGCATATGACAAGATGGCCTGACATGAAACAACCCAGAGTTGGGATTCCCTAGGCAAGCTAAGGAGACTGAGTGAGTTCTTTTTGGGAATACCCCGTGTGGTTGGTCAATCAGGCCCTCAGGTAGGTTGCCTCCATTTGCCTGCCAACAGCTGGATAACTTCAGCTTCATCCTGGTAAGAAGGGTAGGTGGTTCAGTTACTGCAGTATATGCCTGAGGTGTAATTTTCAAGGGCTGTACCTTTCAAATAACACCACTGGTGGACACTGGCCTCCAGCCCCAGGAGGGGATAAGCCAGGTGATTTTAAGAGCTAGTTAGGATGTGAATAATTGTTAGTAGCTTCCTATCCCTAGAAACTCCTGCATATTGAGCATTTCTGAGACAGCAAGATGAGAGAGACCTAAAGTGGAATTGGTAGTCCAAAGTGATACTCCTTCAGGGATTATCTTTAATAAATTGGAGAATAAGAAAATATCACATTATTTTGAATAACTAGTTATCACATTTCAAAACTATTTCTTAGTGCTCAGTTCTTCATTATCTGGCTGTTAGAAGAAATCAGAGGCATAAATAGTCTGAAATAATGAGCGGTATAAAATCATTTATAGTTTGCTTTGGAATGAGTTTCCTCAGATATTAGAACACAAGTGTTTCAGATGTTTGTCAATTTCTAGAATTTTATACTACAGATAATAAAGTAACACCATTAATACATGCCTGAGTAATGTAGAGGTGAGAGGAAGGATAGTGTTTTACTTTTTCCTTTCTGTATCCCTGCTTAGATTTCTTTGACTAAAACCCCATGGTGTAAGTAAAGAGTGAAATTCAACACAGTAAAAATATCAGTTTAAAGATCTGTTGTCTGTGCTTAATATTTGAAGGAAACTGAAACCATGTGTGAATCCAGTAAGGGATTTAAGAAGTATTAGGTGATACTTCTAAGATAAAAGATTTGTTATGTACAGTCTACCTAGAATGAAAGATCAGAAAATGAATGATCAATATGTTACCTTTTAGTATTCATTTTTCAATCTAGTTATTGAGAGCTTATACTTAACAGGTTTCCCTCTGGTCATTTTTGAGTCTTTGAGATGCATGATGGACATTTATGAGTCCATTTTTTAATCTTCTTCTGAAATGTTTGAAGGATTGCTTATGTTAATGTTTCCACATAAGTTTTATTGTCATTTATTGACATTATATTTGTACTTAAACTCTCTACAGCTATTCATTGGAAAACACAGTGCAATTTTTAAACTGTGTTCTTGAAGGAGACCCTGTAAAAACAGTTGTAGCGCAAGAGTTTGTTCACCAAAATGAGAATGTCACTTCTTACACTGTACAGAAGTCTAAGGAGAAAAAGGTATAGAATTATTTTTTACTATAATGGTAAATAAACGTGTATGAAAATATAAATGTTTTATTGAGATAATTTAATGATTTCTCACCATTTTGACTAGATTGGGAATTTAACCACCAATAGCATATTTGGTTTAGAATGTCTCTTTACTCAAAATAATGAATTTATACCTGATTGTTTTTTTTCCTTCAATGCCTTTGTCATTGTGTACCACAAGCCCTTGAATTTCTGTAACTTTTTCTGTGTAGACTCTACACAGTAGAGTATGAGGCTTCATTGAACAGCAGTGGGATTGTAATATAAATGGATCTTAGGCTCTAAATATGTGGGCAGAAATATTTAACCATTTGAGAAACTGCCAAACTTTTTTCCAAAGTGGCTGCCCTATTTTACATTCCCACTGGCTGTATATGAGGGTTACAATTTCTCCACATCCTCTCTGACACTTGTTATTATCAGTCTTTTTTATTAGAGTCATCCTAGTGAGGCTGACGTTGCTTTAAGGGTACTTGGTAAGGCACTAAGACATGGAGGTGGCATGAAGGAAGAAGTTTGTTATGTGCATAGGTCCCTAGTAACAGGAAGTGTGGCCCACCACCCAGGGCTATATGGGGAAGCACCAGGATTGGTCAGGAGCCAGAGGGAGTAGGGGGGAAATGTTGGCAAGAGACTTTTTGTGTGGTTTCTGTGGGAAGGAATGTGTGAGGCGGGGTAAGCAGGTTTAGGATTGGCTAGTTTGAATAATTTCAGTAGGCTTTGGGGCATAGAAACCATCCCTAGTTTTCTAGTACCTGGCCTGGGTATGTTGATGGTGGCCCAGAGAGTGAGAACCCCAAAACCCAAAAGGAGATGGTTGCAGTATGGGCTCTAGATTGGTTGGTTTGCATATCTAAGATGCACTAGCAGGTGAGTTTGTTATCTCTAGGGATTCGTTAACCCCAGGGTTGGGGTGGGAGGCTCTTTCTCCAGGGGTTAGCAAGGCCCCAGATGTCAGAGAATCAGAATTCAGGAAATAAAAGATATGGTTAATACAGAAGTGATTTCTTGTGATTTTGATTTTCCTGATGACTGGTGATGTTGGACATCTTTTCATGAGCTTATTGGCCATTTGTGTATCTTCTTTGAAAAAATGTCTATTTGCCCGGCCGGGCGTGGCTCAGCGGTTGAGCGTCGACCTAGGATCCAGGCAATCGGTTCGATACCGGGTCAGGGCACATGCCTGGGTTGCGGGCTCGATCAATGACTCTCTCATCATTGGTGTTTCTCTCTCTCTCTCTCTCCCTCTCCCCCTCTCCTTTCCTCTCTCTGAAATCAATAAAGATATATTTAAAAAAAGGAAAAAAAAAAGAAAAAAAACGCCTATTTGTATCCTTTGTTCATAAAAAAATTTTTTTGGAGTTGTTAAGAGTTCTTCATATTAGATTCAAGTTCCTTATCAGTCATATAATTTATAAAATTTTCTCCCATACTGAGGGTTGTCTTTTCACTTATTTGATAGTGTCCTTTGAAGTACAAAAGTTTTAAATTTTTTGATGATGTGATCTTTTGTTGCTTATACTTTTGGTGTAATGAAGATTTACACCTGTTTCTAAGAGTTTTATCGTTTTAATGTGGATTACATTTAGATTTTGATCTATTTTAAGTTAATTTTTGTATAGAGTGTGAGATAGGGGTCCAAGTTCATTCTTCTGCATGTGCATGTCCAGTTGTCATAGCATCACTTGCTATAGACTATTCTTTTCCCATTGAACTTTCTTGTCACACTTGTTGAAAATGAATTGATTGTAAATTTATTGCTAGACTCTCAATTTGATTCCATTGATCTGCATGTCTGTCATCATGCCATCACCACACTGTCTTGATTACTGTAGTTTTGTATTTTATAGTAAGTTTTGGAATTGGAAAGTGTGTTTCCAACTATGTTCTTATTTTTTCAAGATTGTTTTGGCTATTCTGGTCCACTTGCATTTCCACGTGAATTTTAGCATCAGCTTGTCAGTTTCTGCAAAGAAGTTAGCTGGGATTTTTATGGGGATTGTGTTGAGTCTGTAGATCAGTTTATGTGTGTTGCCATCCTAACAATATTGTCTGTGAACATGGAATATCTTTCAATTTATTTAGGTCTTCTTAATTTCATTCAACAGGGTATTACAGTTTTGAATATTAAGTTTTGCATGTCTTTTGTTAAATTTACTTAAAATAATTTTTTTATTGATTTCAATGAGGAAGGGAGAGCAAGAGAGATAGAAACATCAATGATGAGAGTCATTGATCGGCTGCCTCCTGCACATCCCCCACTGGTTATCGAGCCCGCAACTTGGGCATGTGCCCTCATGGGGAATTGAACTGTGATCTCCTGGATCATAGGGCTGTGCTCAACCTCTGAGCCACACTGACTGGGCATCCATTTTTTCTTTGACTATTTCACCATCACTAAGTTGATATATAGGATGTAGGTAATTTTGATATACATGTGATCTGTTAGTGATGTACATGGAGCAGGAACCAAGTGATACCACTGATGCCTGTGTACATCATGGATAGATAGGTGCAGTGTATTAGGAAATGCAGTGTGTGTATAAGATAATGATGAGGCCTTCAAGGCCAAACTGTGGATGAAGATTACTTCTTTTCTCTCCTGACAAGAGAGCAAGGCACTGTAGGTCATTATGGTGATAGAAGAGGTGATGGGGAGAAGGTATACTTACTCAAAGTTGGAGATGATTAGAAAATGTTGGAATCAGAAAAAGATTTTTGTGAGTTATGTAAATGTTGGCCAAAATGTAAACTTTAAGTTATTTTGGAGATTATTCTTAATCTTTCTCAAAAAATGTAGGCAGGTGTCACAACTCTGATAAAAATCTTTTTATATTTGTGATCAGAATAGTTTATCTTTGATATCCCAGGACCCTATGGAGCCACAGATACTAAAGGGGATTATCATGGTACCAGTAATGTTTTGGTTTATCTGTTTTCAAGATGCTAACATTTAAACTGTCTTACTGCCCTGGCTGGTGTGCGTGAGTGGTTAGAATGTTGGCCCATGCACTGAAAGGTCGCAGGTTCGAGTTCTGGTCAAGAGCATGTACCTGGGTTTCAGGCTCCCTCCCTGCCCCCTTCTGGGTGCCTGCAGGAGGCACCCAGTCGATGTATTTCTCTCTCCCTCCACTCTGAAAAGCAGTGGGAAAAAATCGTTGGGTGAGGATTAAAAAACAACAAACAAAAACCTATGTTTTATTAACACTACTGCTTTTCTCCTTTAGCCTTTAATAAAATTTATGTTTGTTATGATAGGAAATGGTTTTGGTATTATAGTATATCATGTTTTCAACAGAATAAGTGGCACTAATTAGGTGAATTGCTAGGAAGCATGTATTTCACTCGGCCCTTGTTAATGAAGTTATAGTAAACCACATCACTATCAAATGGGTACAAAAACAAATCTTAGTTTTATTTTAAAAGAGAATAGCTATTTGAGAACGCATCTCTCATTGAATGCTGTTTTTTTCTGTTTTAAAATAAGAAATGAAGGGTCTCTTCCTAGAGAACCAAATAGGATTTGCATTTTTTAGTATGAACACCAACAGAGACTCTAATGCTATAAAATATTCATGTTTATAGTGTTAGTCACTATGGGCTTTTCAAAAGTCATAGAAAGCGCTTTTATTATCCCCTCCCCACAAAATCTTTCATTTTATCGGGGATGCAAGCCATACACTTATAGAATATTTAAACATTAATATGAACCAGCTTGTGGTTAAGTTTTGGCAAGAGTGACATAAGGATATAGGTCCTATGAATATTCTCTGTCAGAGAGAGCCTCGTGTTCTTTCTTTAAGCTGGATATTTATTACAAAAATAAATTGACTCTGTATTTATAAATTTTTGACTCTGGTGATGAGTTTAGAAGTATGGTGATGCCTTTATTTTATTCTCTGTTTTAAAAATTTTTAAAAAAATTTTTTTATAACTCTTTCAAGCCTCTAGAATTCTAGGGGCCATGTAAACAAAATGTAATGAGTGAAAAATTATACAACCAACTACTGATATATATTAGATATGGTTTTTTCCAACCTGTCTTGACTTCTGAACTCCATTCACAGGCAGGAAATTTGAAAAAATATTTTTATCAATTAGTAATATATATAGTATAGTAGACATAATGTTTTATAATATTTAATATATATTAAATTATATTACATAAAACATTTTTCTAATCCTCACCAGAGGATATTTTTTCCATTATTTTCAGAGAGAGTGGAAGGGAAGGAGGGAAAGAGAGAGAAACATTGATGTGAGAGAAACACATCTATTGGTAGCCTCCCGCATGCTCTCCCACCAGTGCTGGGAATTGAGCCTGCAACCAAGGTTCATGCCCTTGGCCAGAATGGAACCTGAGACCCTTCAGTCCATGGGCTCATGCTCTAACCACCAACCAGAAACGGCGAGGGCTACATAAAATTTTTGATCGACATTTATTAAAGATTGTATTATAGATTACATTATAATTATAATCCTTAATAATATTTTAAATTTAATGACAGTTTTTAGCTTTTAGAAATTTAACAAGTAACCTAACTAATTTACTTTCACTTAATTATATCAGAAAAACATGATTTGTTTTTAAAAAAAAAAAAAGAAATTAAAAATTATATTTTGGGGGGGGGATTTTGGGTTTGAGTGTTCATAAAATGTTCATTAAATTACTTGTTATAGCACCTGATACTTGGAATTCTTTTAAGCTTTTAAGAAATCAACTCAAATCATAGTGATTAATTCCCCCCTTACCCCTCAGTGACATGCTAAGAAACAGCAGATTGCTGCTTGCAAATAACATTTTAGAGAGTAGGATAAATGAAAACCAAATTGGATATAGAAGTCACAATATTTTGCTCTTTTTAAAATGTTGACTTTTGATATTTTAGAGTTATCTAGATGGACTGTATAAGAATTTTCTTCATAAAAATGGAATTTTCTATTTGGTGGAGAGCATTGAGGCAAATTTGTGTAATTATTATTTCCATTACTTCATGTTTTAAATTAGAGTTGCTTCTTTAATAATATACTGGAAATTTTCCAAAAGCTCAGAAAGTCAACACTACATTACCATAGCAGCTAGTTGGTGGTCAGCTGATTGACCAACTCCTATAAACCCACTTATGACTTTTACTACCTATCAGGCATGGTCACTCCACATGCCCTTCTGTTTTAAAAAGAATATTATTCAATTTTTTATCAGGTTTTTAAAAACCTGACATTGATTACTAAAATTAAATAGGTTTCAAGTTACAATTCTATAATACATCATCTGTATATTGCATTGTGTGTTTACCCCCCAATATCAAATCTTCTTCCGTCACCATATATTTGACCCCCTTTACCCTTTACTACCTCCCCATACCCACTTTTTTCCCTTTGTCTGTGTGTATGAGTTTTTGTTTATTTCTCTTGTTTTGTCATTTGTTCTTTTCAGTATTATATCCTCTATATGAGTGAAATCATATGGTTCTTGACTTTTTTCATCTTACTTATTTCTCTTAGTACTGTATGCTCAAGATCCATCCATGTTGTCACAAATGGCAGTATTTCATCTTTTCTTATGGCTGAGTAGTATTCCAGTGTGTGTGTGTGTGTGTGTGTGTGTGTGTGTATAAAACATCTTTATCCAATCCTCTATCAGAGGACACTTTGGTTGTTTACATGTCTTGGCCACTGTGAATAATACTGCAACAAACATAGGGATGTAGATATCTTTATGAATAAATGTTTTTAAATATTTTTGGGTAAATACCCAGAAGAGGGATTGCTGGGTCATATGGTAACTCTATTCTTAATTTTTTGAGGAACCTTTGTACTGTTTTCCATAGTGGCTGTACCTGTTTACATTCCCACCAATAGTGAATGATAATTCCTTTCTCTCCACAACCTTTCAACACTCGTTATTACTTGTCTTGCTGATAAAAGCCATTCTGACAGATGTGAGGTGATATCTCATTGTAGTTTGTTTTTTAAAAAAATATATCTTTATTGATTTCAGAGAGAGGAAGGGAGAGGGAGATAGAACATCAGTGATGATAGAGTCATTAATGTGCTGCCTCCTGCATGCCCCCTACTGGGGATTGATCAGCCCACAACCCAGGCATGTGCCCTAATTGGGAATCGAACCTCGATCTCCTGCATCCTAGGTCGATGCTCAACTGCTAAGCCATGGCAACCCGGGCTCTCATTGTAGTTTTGATTTGCATTTCCCTAATAGCTAGTGAAGTTGAACATCTTTTCATATATCTGTTGGCCATTTGTGTGCAGAAGTGTCGTTTTAGGTCCTTTGTCCCTTTTAAGCGGATTATTTTGTTGTTGAGTTGTGTAAAAAAATATGAATTGAAATACACCATTACTAAAAAAAAAAAAAAAAAAAAAA